ATTCTTGAAAAAAATTAAAAAAAAAACCTTAAACAAGTATACTTTCTGCGGTACGACTGTAATAGGTATAGTAGGTAAATCGTGATTTTGCATGTCTCTAAAGACTGAGTTTTAATCAAATAAGTTTCAAAAAATAAGCGGGAAATCGGTGTACTCGGTTACGTATTTTTCCATTTACTGTGAGCCTTGTATTTTTGTTTTTCGTCTAATGTTAATTATCGTCAGTTCTGTATTTTGTCTTGCCTCAACATTCGCGTTGAGGATTGTTTTACGCGACTCTTACAAATAGCTAATTCTAATTAACCACTTACCTCTCTTTGATGTTTTCTGACTTTTTCTTGTCAAACTTACCACTATTAATTAGGTTGTGTCACATCATTATGTCTGGTAGCTCTAAGGATATTGGTCTAGGTACAAATTGTTTACTGCCTCTTTATTCTTCCCAGCTTTTACAAAACATATCAGACTAACCAAACTATTTAACCAAAATTTACTTTCGGCGATCGAAATCACAATTTGACAACGATTAGTAGGTAAGCATTTGTTTTCTGTATTATAGCCGCGACTGTTCAAAGTCTTTTCTTCTATAATGGTACAAAATTAAATAGGAGCCAAGAAGAATATCAAGTATACTATTTTTGTAATTTGAATTTAACGTATTTTTAATGATTGCAAAATGAACAAGCTAAATTCGATATTAAAATTATTTATAAACTATTTGATTTAAGAATATCATTCTTGCACATCGATTTTTCAAAAAATTCTACAACGCTGAAACAGTAACAGATACTTACGTGTTGTATTATGTTTCTTATGTATGAGAATTGTATCCCAGATATGGACGATCATTCTTCGTCTCCTTAAAAAAAAGGAGTTTCCCTTTAAGTGTCCAAATTGTTCCGGCCAGATACGATCCCTTTAGGTATTAGCTACAATTATGTAGAAAATATATCTATCACTTTACCGTTTACATATAAACGTTATGCGTATATATGTAATATTAAAAATATGTATTATCAATTATTATTATTATTAATCAAGCGTGTTACTTAGAAGTCACCTTCTTTACACACGGTCACGCTGCGAACCTGTCCGGTACTTTAGGCACGGGTTTGGCAGCTATGTTGTTGTGCTCTCTTGACATTTGTTAGTTCTGCTGTTTACCAAAAATGTACGCAAAAACTAATAGTTGTGGAAAATGTATGCTATGATAAACTTCTCAAGTCACTCGTTTATTAAGCACTCTAAAATGACTAAAATTATGTTTGTTACATAATATACAATATTGGTTGAGTTGGTTTCTTACAAGCAAAAGGACAAAGTCAAAAAAAAAAATTCTACAATATTTATTATGTAAGAATTTTGGATTAAAACTCAATTGTAGGTTTTATTTTAATTAGTTATACGTTATGGAGCAAGAAAGCCCCTCCGATTACCGAATATATATATATATATATATATATATATATATATATATATATATATATATGATATTAAAATTCTGGCAGATATTACAACTTTACGATAATAAGCCAGCTGCTATTCGTGTTACCTACCATTTAAAAATTTCACGTATGAGCCCTAGTAAATATTGCATAGGACATGTTTGACCAGATCTATATCAACGACGATAGGCAGGTAGATTTTTATACACTGCAGAATTTTCCAAAATCAACAAATAAATCCAGTACTTTTACGTGGAACAAAATTCAAATTTGTATTTTTTTTGCAAGGATGTTCACTATAATAATTTTAACGTGAAAATAAAAATCAAATTCCAACATTTTTTCAAAGGCGTTTGGTTTTTAATAATTCCACCATAACAACTGAAAACGTAAGCCGCACCCAGCACCCTCTTTTTGCAGTGCCGGATTAAGCTTCCTGGGGCCCTGTAGCACTATTCGATCACGTGGAGTCTCAAATTGACAACCAAAATTAAAGAGCCTCAGATATGAAGTACTTTTTTCTGTTAGACACTATTTTAAGTTTTGTTAATTGTTAAAATGTTAAAACATATTTAACAATTGATCGAATAACGTATAGCTGATATTCTTTTGTTAATATAAAACAGGAAAACAGTTATACGAAAACGGAATATGTGAGAACAATTAATAAGTAATATTTCTTACTTTTGGTTATTTTGCAATTCAATGTTTTTTATCTCAACTTAGACGTTTAATAATTTTTTTTCAATATTTTTACAATCTTAAACAAAACTACAAAAACTTATCAAAACTAACACTTGTAGTAGAGATAAAAAATGATTTCGATAATTCACTGGCCCATTTTTTACTCAGGTAATAGCAGACACATTTTCCAACAAACAGAACCCTATGGAATTTCTTTTCTTTTGTAAAGGATTAAAATTTCGTTTCCTTATATTTAATTCCACTTTTTCTGTCCGTATATTCAGGTCGAATTTTTCGAATTTGACATCGGTCATGTGATCGATGCGAAAATGTACTCTTATGTACATATGTACCCAACCCTTTTAATAAGCTCAATTTTATAACCTCAAAGAGAAGGGTAATCTATTAATTATATTTTACCGAACAATATTTATTTGGAGCAAATTGTAATAATTTCCTACGAATTTTGTCTTTTTTTCAAACATTCACAACCCGTTTTTTTATTTATTTAGATACTGTTTTATGACATCACTAAAAGCGGCGTTTTCTCGATTCTTCTAGTTAAGAATTAAAAGTAACCAATTTTAGTATCACTAATCTGAAATCATTTCCAGAAAGGTGTCAAATACATAACTCGTATTAGTATGTCAATAATTTGCGGCAACCGCCTTAAGGGTCCCAAGATCGACGATGCCCGGGCTGCAATCCTGTTAGCCCCTTTCTCGTCACAATCTTGCGAGAACAGATAGGCATTTAGTTTTTAGCTTCACTAATAGAGGCACAGTTATGATCACTCTAACGCTTTTTGATTTTTGATAATTTACTGACTTGATTTTTTGGTTAGCTATTGGAATAGGAAAACGCCAATAACCAACGCAATGAATCAAAAGCAATTAATCCAGAATACATACATTGCGTAGTTGCGTATAGGTAAGTGTACATATAATTTTTAAACAGGAGTTGTTTTATGAGTGGATGTAGAGAACAGCGCCACTACGAACGTGCACAACATTTACATAAAAGTTAGTAATCCTGTCCAGGCACGAAGAGGGGGTTCCATAACCACGCCCCGATTCACCCTTAATAGGGGAAGCAAACGCTATATGTGGAGGGAAGGCAATGGGGAAAATGATTTGGGGCGCTTTAAAGAGGTCGATGCACCCCTAGAACGGGCCACCGCCCCGTCTGTCGGGCTCTTACGGAGGCGGACAACGAAACCGAAACACCAGCGAAAGTTTACCTAAAGTTTGTATAGGTATTCCGCGAAAATCGATATTATCAGTATTTAATAAGAATAGGCAGTCTATAAATTGTTGTCGTTGCATTGCGTTACACTATTTAATTTTTGAACGAACAACCTCATGCGTTCCCTTGTAAGTTTGTATCTAAACATTAGAGTTTCAATCTTGAGATATCGGAAATTAGTTATGGTAAAAGTGTATTTACGTGCCTGACAGGATGCGAGAGAATTGACAGAAATTCCTCACATATTTCGTAAAAACTTAAATCTTTGCATTGCCACTTTCTTGACTCTATGTTAAATTAGTATTTGATTTTACAAAAAAAGCAAAATTATATTTTAGATATTTTTAAAGAGCAAGGAAAAAGTATTATCAAAAACTACTAAATGTGACCTTAAAAGCAGATTTCAGTTCCGAAAATATAGTGGATTTTATAATAAGAATAAGAAAAAAGGGCAGAATCAATTGAAACAACGGAAAATTTAATTGTCATTTTAGATTTTGTTTCTTTTAGCAATAATTATATAACCAATTTTTTTCCTTCATGCAACTTGAAAGGCTAACGCAGCGAATTTCACTAGTCAATAACAAAATGATATACAACCATTTTTAGGTTTGGTCAGTCCTCCACGGCGTATATTACAAAAAAATAAATCAAATCAAATCAAATCAATCAAAATAAAAATGATTCGTAAAAATTTGAGTAATACCAACTAAGGCAAACTCGCACTACAAATTGTGAAAAGTTCAATTTTCAAATGAGTATATATATTATTATTCTTCATTTGAAGACCTTTTTTCTACTCAACGAAAAATATGGAGTGTAGTGTATTCCTAGTCAAATGTTTAATTATTTTATAAACCTAAAATTTAAATTACGTTAAAGTTTTTTTTAGGTATATAGTATAGGTATATAAACTAACCATAAACTGTTATTTTTTAGTTTTTACGTTATTCGCAAAAAAAAATCGAACTTTGCTGTTCAGTTTATAATTGAAGTAATTTAATTTATTGTTAAACAACTTTTTATAAATAGAACTGTCTGTTGAGCAAACATTTTTGAAGAGCAGCTTTCCTTGGCAGGAATTTGAAAATTAGAGGTATGATTTTTATAGATTTTGTTTAACAAATTAACTATTGGATTTTTACAGTTTTTTGTAACAGCTGAAAGAATACCATTGTCCGATCTTTGTATTTTTTAAAATTTCCTTCTAATATTTTAAAAATAATAAATTTGAATTTGGTACATCCAGTACGCTTCAAAAACGTGAGTTTTGCGATACTTATAAGGGTTGGTATTAATGCAATTCTACCCTCTCTAACTTTTTTCGTTAGAAATAAAATAGTTTTTCGCATTTACATATTTAGGAAGTTTACAAAAATATTTACAAAACCAAAATGTTCTTCCAAGTTAAACAGGGAATCTAAATAAGAATAAAAATAAGAAAAGAAAATATTAAGTTTGCCAATTGTCAAACTAACCTTCCGCGGATATAAGATTTTTATAAAATGGTATTTTTAAGCATGCAGATAGCACTATAATGAGATATGAAGCTCCGAAAATGTTCGATAATGTACTTCTGTGCAATTTATAAATTGACAATCTCAAAAGAAAAATAAACTCTTTTGATTAACTGTCGCTTTTATTGGCATCTTTTATATTGTCAGAATTACTCTCGTACCAGGAATATTCAGCGTATGGATAGTTGTTATAATAGGTGCTGCCGTAAATGTAATTATATCCATGATGTCCGATCCTATCGTAGTCGTCTTCTTCATCGCCTTTTATAGTGTGAACGCTCACCGAAGGTTTTTGGTATTCTTTCTGGAACAACTTTTTGAGAGCCACAGATCCTACGATAATAAGGGCGGCTTTACTCGCGAGCAACGCTTTAGCCGCCATTATTGCGACAACCTTCATTATTAAGGGTCCCGTTAAACCAAAAATTCCTGAAAATATTACACATTCGATACCTGATATTCTAAAAGGCTTACATAGTTGAAATTATACTTAATATTTGGGGTTTGACCAAAGTCGTCTACCTACCTAAAAGTACCATAAAAGCATATTGGACATACTTCCTTTCCTTTTTCAGTTGTTCGTAACTAAAGAGGCTGTCTGGCTCTTTTTTATTACCGGCTCTGTTCTCTCCATCTTTTAACTGTCTGGAGCCAATGGTTCCAAGTTCCAATGCTATGGAATGAGTGTCGAAAAAATTCCAAATTGTTGTTTCAAGTCGACCCAAACCTAAATCCGAGTCGATTTTATAAAATTATTAGCATTAAGATTTAGTTTATCTTATTGCAATCGGTACTCACGTGCCTTTTAAATTTCTGGCTCGCCGGGGATTTACTTTATTGCCATTTCTTAATAGCATGATGCCTTCGGCTAAAGGAATATCCGACATGCGAGAGTCTTCGATTTTATCGGAAATTTGATCCACAAAACATTCGAAACTGAAAATATAAAATAAACAAAAATAAATCTAAAACCTTATTTTTAAAAAACATCTTTTGGTTTCAGCAAAAGTATAATTTAAAATATAATTAATAAGTGTAAAAGAAAGCAGTCTTTATTTTTTTATTAATTTTAAATTATTGTTTAATCGTAGGTATTGCATAGTATTTATTTTAAAAAAATATTAATTAGAGAACATACACATCCGCATGCTCAAGGTCCAACGTTTTTAAACGTTGCTTTAAACGCAAATGTGATGAAAATTTGTAAACAGATACGAAAGATGACAATTATTATTTTAGGATAATATCACAAATAAATAAAAAACACATTTTTTTTTAAGTGAAAGCATGCTTCATTGTTGGTTGTGACTTTGCGGATGACGGATAAAAAGATGGGAAAAAACTAACCAAAACTGACCGTGTGAAGATCGCCTGATTCTGAACTTACATAAAAATCAGAAAAATATAGAAAAAAAGTCTGTTTGGGTTTAGTTTTGATATATGTGCGCCAAAGATTCTCTTGCATCTGACTAGGTGTAACGATATAACACTTTGTAATAAATTTTAAAGGATTCACGAGACAGTAGAAGAAAATACATTATTTCCTATCAAATTTTACAAGCAATGATTATCACCTCTCATCACAATCTAAACACATATTAATAAAATATATTATTAGACACTCTCGGGAACAATTGATTAGTTCACAATTCCTTCACAAACAATACCTTCAGGATTTGTACTAGGCACAAATTTACTGAAAGTCGTACATCAAATTGCAAAGTTGCTTTTGATTTGTCCAAACTCATATTACGTTACATTTTTTGTTATGAAAATATTACAAATTAAATATCAATATATTTACATTAAATATGTAGTAGACATATATAAGAAGTACCTAAGAGTAAATTCAATCAGTATACTACCTACTTACGGTTTACTGAAGTTGATACAATCTATTAATGCATATCTATCAACACTGTTTGTAACATAGTATAATTTACCACGAACATCCCCAAAACGGAACACCAAGAGTATCACAGTTACCACAACTCTCCTCATAATTTGAAAATTGCCTTTGCTGTATAAGACCTATCTTACAAATAACGAGATTTGTACTCGGTTAGATTTTAAATACCGATATACTTACTTGCTGTTTCACGTCAGCAATGTTGGGAGTAATCACGCAACTGATTTTAATTTCTATTTGATCTTAATTTTTATAAATCCTTAATGGTGATAATCACGCATGTGATATTAATAGACCGAGTAAAACAAATAAAACAGAGAAAATTAAATTCAAAATGATTGACCGGTCTATTAATTGATAAGATCCCCAATCCATAATGCGTTGTAGTCTAGAAAGCTTTTATAGGCAATAACAACAATATGCACTTTACATTGTTCTGAAATAGTGGAGGGTGGGGCAAGGCGCCCCTGGGGCAACGAGGCCCACCTAAAAAATTAGGCAAATTGTCATTTTTTCTTCTAATAATTATAAATTCTGATTAATTGTACATTTTTAGCCCTTTGCGTAATACTAGGGGTAAAACTGACCGCTTGAAAAATTCTAAAAAAAGCGATTCCATATTATTATAACGGAATCATAATTAATTTATGCTTCCAAAAATCTTATAAATAGTTACTAAAAATAGTTACTAATCAGTAACGTTTTTTTTTATTAAATATTTTAAATAAATAATTATAATTATTACATATACCATTATAAATAGTGGAGAGTGGGGCACGAAGGCCAGAAGCTTCGCCAAAATTTGGGTAAATTTAGTTAAAGTTTAATTGTTTTGTAGTCATACTTTCAACATTTAAACTGCTAAATATTTTAAATTTTATATTTAAGATAACCTAAAACCAAGAAAATTCAAAGATATTTATTTGCATCTACATATCATTTTAGAAAAACTGTAATGCCACGTATCACCTAAAATGACAATTATAATCGTAATTGGTGACTGGACAACAGTACAAATTATGTACTTATATTCACCCATTAAAAAGGTAAATCGTAAGTATAGATGATAATATGTAAATGTTTTGTAAAACTGAAAGTGCTCGCGGGCCTTCCAACAACACTTTTTAAGGTATTAAATACATGCAACCTATTGCGAACAGTAATTCAATAAGCACAAGTGGAGCGCATAAATAATTAATCTGTAGAGAGTGGAATAGAAAATAGCGAAATTGTTTTTCTGCTGAGTACTAAGTAAACGTTTTAGCAACATTTTAATTCAAATAGAGTACGTATCGGTAACTAAACTTGTACTTCTGGGATTAAATTAACCTAATGAAGCATATACCTAGACAGAGATACAACATAACTCTGCGTGATGCATGATGCAGGTTTCTTCAAACTTCAGCACAAACGTTTCAACAACGGAAGTAATTTCTTCCCTACAATGATGTTCTAAAATACAATTTTCTTCGTGTACCATGTACCAGTTGTACAAGCAAATCTCTTAAAAATTTGAAAATATGAAGGTTTTGTCTCTTGATTGCCTTTATAATGCCGAGAATATTTATGAAGCAACTATAAAAAAAAATGCGAAGGTCCTTTCAACATGCGCATGAGCGAGATTTAAAGTTTCGTTATTAACCAATGACCTTGCAGCATTCAATGACCAACATGGCCGCTAACAGAGCGTTAAGTATGGCATTTTTACGTCCTTATTTTCTCAAAATATGTCCAGTTCGAGTTAAATGTTCTAAGAAAACGAGGTAAGTGTGTGGAAATTGCTGTTTGGAAAAAAAAAATGGCGCAAATTGCAGGTTAGTGGATGAAATGTAGAGATATGAGAGGAAAATCAGTCCCTCTCTACGAAAATATCAATGCCATCTGCGGCATAGTAGAGCTACTATATCATCTAATATCTATATGATGGTCCCAACCTATAACTGTGGAAAATATCAGAATGAATTAAAACCTGATACATAATAACTGTAGTCCGTTCAAAACAATCGATATTTTCGCAAGACTGACTGTACAATGGGGTGGATCTATATGTGTTATTAGGAAAGAAAGCCTTATTACATTTTATCTATACTAGGCTGTTATAAAGACAAACTATATTTTTTTATAGAGAACAATAAATGTTCGTCATTAACCCAAGAATTATTAAAATAATTTCAAATTTTTGGTCAAATATTCATATTCTATTAATTAATAATTCAATTAAAAAAAACATTCTATTCCATGAATATATCAGGTTAATTATTGCATCAAAATCTTGTAGAACGAATATTCATAGCTATTATTAACTTTAATTTATATAGGGATCTTCCGAAAAAAATAATTATTTTTCCTTCATAAGCCTTAGTGTCGGTTCACTTATTAGTAGGTACAAAAAAAACTAATTCAGCAGTTTATTTCAACAAATTTTATTTTCGAGTCTGAAGGTTTTGGAAAAAGTTAAATAAAATGATAAGATATTAAAAAAAAAACAATAGTTTAAATAAAATATTTACTAACTGCTATAACATAAAAAATAATTCTCATACATAAAGATGGAGAAGTTATTGCAAACAACTTTAGATCATTTTTACAAAACTTCTGGATTCCTCCAGCGTCGGTTTTTGCTTAGTCGAAATTGCTGACGTTTCGCCAATCATCCTGTTGGCTTCTTCAGAGCATGAAACTGAACTGAAACAGTTTCTTTGAAAAATTAACTTTAGACCCGTTTCTATGGTACCTTATACATCAAAAATCTTTGAATCAGTATTAAAAAATCAAAAAACATTTTGAGAATTTTAATCTTTACTATGGTCAGCAATACGGTTTAACCAAGCTCTTTTGAGCTATATTCAAAAGACAAGACGTCAACTTTACGAGTGCAACATTCTGCGAAGTAGGGTTGGGCTGTGTGGACTACTCGACTCTATTGAAAAAATTAAAATATTACAATTTTGACATGTTGAGCCGAACCCTAGTTGGTTAATTTCTGAGATCAAACAATACGTTTATAACAAGAAAATCTCGAGAACATTAGCAGTGAGAAATGGAGTTGTGCAGTGCTCAATAATGGGACCTACCCACATTCTCATATATATATCAACGACCTTCCTGAAGCCCTTTTGAATGATTAGCTGGCGTTGTTTGCGGACGACACTACTAAGAGCTAAGAACTGGTTTACAAAAAATAACGCAAAGGCACATCAACGAAGTAAATAATGGACAAAGTGAAAAATTGTTGGAAATTCAGACCCTGAACTAAATTGCTGTCACCACACAGACCAAGTGGCTAAAAGAAAATCAAAAAACATTTTTCTAATATGTAGCCTAAAGCTAATTGGCTCTCACTTGCTTTATGGTGTGATAAACTCGGTACAGGCTCTCGGTGCAGCAAGACTATTCTCAAATACAGAGAGGATGTTAGTTCTAAATTTTCGGAGCTTAAAATTCTTACAATGCCAAGCGCTTATGTACTTAAATGTCTAATTTACGCTTACGAGAACCAAACCGATTTTTTACACGTGAATAAAGTTCACCCCTACAAAATACGGAATAGGGACCTCAGACTTGATTTCTTCGTCTTAATGCGAGTAGGCTAGGTTTAAATTACTACTGCATCCATTTTTTAAATAAACTTAAGCCCGAGACAAAACAACTCGCAATAAACCGGTTCAAAGATTTTTTAATATTTTACAGCTTGGCAGAATTTATCTTTTTTCAAGATATCAATAACTATATCTAATCAGATGATTGCACCTCTTTGACTCCCCGCTTTCGATGATAACTTCCTGTGATAATCTTCGATCAGCTTTAATATAATAATATGTCCAGGTGCCCAAAAGGCGCTTTATGTTTTATGTTGTAAAATTGTTATTACATGCTATATTTCATTGCCATGATTGAGGATATACCTTTTTTACGTTTGTAACATGCTAATAAATGAAATGAAAAATGAAGATTAATCAGTTTATTCTGTTTATTTTCCCATCGTATTGATAGCTCTTCCTTATACTTATTCTGGTATAGATGGGACCTTATTTCTGCTACCTACCTGAATATAGTAAAATAGCAGTATAAAAAGAAAATTAAATAAAATATTGAACTTTATTTTTGAAGCATAAATAATTTTATGCAGGCGTTCAGTTTTAAATTTTTTAATAGTTCACGGAAATAAATCTAAAACATTAGTGAAGTTGCCATTATACTAAAAAGAATATGATAACTGATGCTAAAACACAAATTTGAAACTTTGATATTACACATTAAATTACATAAAATATACTCTCAGAACTGCCTTAAACTATTTTAGTAGTTTAGTACCACATTGAATAATATCCCAGCGTAAAAATATCGTTTAAAATTTATCATTGCAGGTAATAAACTATCCTGGTCACTTTACTTTATTAGTATCTACAATTTCATAATCCGAGGCACTACTTTCCAAGCTCTCCAGCGAGGTAGCGGTCGAAATGTTGTCAGGAAGGGTTAATCTAACTGCTTCTATATTCGCACCGCCGTCTCTAAAATCGCTAGGGACTAACGGTGGAGGTGGAGCTTGAGCTTCAGAATGAACAGCTGCCAGCTAAAAAGAACAAATTTTCATATACAACAAAGGGTTTAACGGCAACAATCTAGTACCTGTATAAGTTCTTTCTGCGATTCTCTCGCTTCAAGTAGGAAAATGCTCTCTTTAACTTCTTTATTTGCATATTCGTGAAGTTTGTCGTAAATAACGCCGTGTACTCCTAGCTGTTTCAAAAACTTTATCGTGGCCGGATCTGCGTTTTCATCTCCCCAGCAGAAAGTGATTAAATTTGCTGCCAAAGGTAGTTTCAGCTGAAAGTAAAATTTCCGAGTTTTTTTTTTTAAATAACTAAACAGTTCTATAGTGAATTATTTTTGTGTAAAAGTAAATATAAATATTTTAAGAGTCTAAAGGGACTCTGAAACATACACCAAAATTTTTAAAGGAGTTAAAGCCAGTTGGAAGATAATCGTCCTCCTGTTCTGCTCAACATTTTTCGGTACCCTTAAAGATTTTGTTGTTAAAAGGAATTTACGGCGAAAAAACTGTTGGGTAAATATAAAGGAAAAAAATCTCTTTAAGAAAACAATTATCGTTTTTTCATTACACTACTGATTAACGCGCTGGGTCGGAAAAAGACACGAAAATTTTTGTCTAAAAAACATTGTTGGTGAGTTTTGATTAGTTGATATGATTTTAAAAAAGGCATCTCGGATATTTTGACTTACCAAGGATGGATCTCTAAGCAAATCTTCAGTATGAACGTTAATTCCTAAAATTTCAATCATAGAGGCAAACTGGACCGCAGCTTTTATGGACCAGCATCTTGGATCATTGTACTTGGGATAGATTTTGCTTTCGCCTACTGTCAAAAACACTACAGGGTATTTGTTCTGCTTAAGCCGGATTACTTGACAGATGTCCGGGTTGAAACAGGAAAAGATTATTCTTCTATCGCGACCATACCTGTGCACAAAAAACTCGAGTAAATTACGTTAAAAGATTAGGTGTTGATTAAGTTTTATTGAATAAAAGGTTTCATATACATGGATTATTTCATCATAAAATTAATTGTAAATGCCCGCACAAATCGCAATAAGCAAGCAAAATTTTAGTAACATGCTGACATTGTGAGTTGACTTTATTTAGAAGAAAGATCCATCCCAATGTCAACCGCATTCATAAAATTAAGAATGGTGCTGATTTAGTGTTACTTGCCTTCTGAGAAACGCTACTTTTAAAATGTGAATATTAATTAACTATAAATAGTAAATGCTAGTGAAAAAAATACAATTGGTAGACTAGGAATCTATAAAATGTGGCAAAGCATAGGTCAAGACTTCTTTGAACAATAAATTTCAATTACAATATCACTAATTCATGAGTTTCATAAGATTATAGATAAAACAATATTATAAAGACGTAAAATATGTAATGAATTGCACATAGTGGATAATAAAACACATCCATTAACGTACCTCATAGACCGCGGAAAAAGTTAGTTGATTCTGTGATTAGTACGTGGGGTAGGTCTCAGTTAAATTGACTGTTATAACAAATTGGAGGAAAAGTTTATTTTCAAAAAGCTGTCTTCCAACTTGAATAACAAAAGACGGTTCAGGGCCCTTAATATATAACCAGAATTTCTTACAATGAGAAAATTGAAGCTCATAAAATTTTTTTGGACTTATTTTTAAATTTAAATCTGTTATCAGAAACCCATTTCAATTAGAAGCGGGGTGGTATCTTTAAAGATAGAAACATGCGATGTTCGCAGTAATGGGTTAATGTTTTGTGGAGGTAAATATACCACAAACGGGATTTTCTTAAGTCATTTTCGTTTTTCTGATACATAATGTTATTAAATTTTAAGAATATTATAATTAGAAAAGATACACCTCTATTTGATAACTTATTGAAAAGCTAATAATTGTGTAGAACCAAGACAAAAAGTTGAGAATAATGTAGGCTTTTAAAAAATGTGTAATTATATAGTTATTTTAGAAAACAATTTTAAAACAAAACAAACAAAATTAAGCAGGGGCGTAACTAACGCAAAAAACGGTAAAGCAAATCCTAAAAATTTTGGGGATTTGTCAGTTTGTCAGATTAATTAAAAAAATAAATAAATTATTGTTAAATTTAAACGCGATATGGATGAAGGAAATGTCAAATATGGTGGTTCTGACAGGGGTGTTAGAGAGAACAGGAAAAAGTTAAAAACTAGTTAAAAACTAGAACAGAAATAAATAAATCATGGATATATGTTGGATCCAACAATGATTGCCACTTATAAAAATAGAACTGACGACCCAGAAAAAACATCCTGACTGAATAAGAAAAAAGATAATTTTTCAACACACACTTATAAATTAAATTGGAGTGAAGAGAAAAAGTGAATAGACTCACCTCGATAGAGCTAAACAAACAATGACATTAAGATTAATAATTAAAATGTAGATAGTCGACTCACCTTTCTTTCATATAATAAAACAGTGGTTGTGGAATGTTAAATGACAGGTCTTCTTACGCAGAATGGTGCATTGAGATACATGGAATATCCTTAAACACAGGGTATAAATGTGTCATTAGATGACAATCCTCTCAATACTGTTTAAATTCCACTAATGCAAGTAAGGTCAAATAAAACAAAGCTCCCTAAAACCATCAATATTTAATACTAACAATTTTTTAAAACAATGAAACGCAATATAGTAAAGGACACTATTACATGCACAATAATAACTTATAATATATACGTATATTACATGTCACTTGGTTTTAGATATAAAATTCGGAATATGTAAATAAATCAAATGATATTAAAAATCAAAGACCCACTGCACCAGCACATCCGATAAGAACCATACACCAAACAAAAACCAAAACAAACATTGTTTTGTAGTTAATAAAGGATGGGATACCATTCTTACCAAATATGGAACTCCAGTCAAAGTTCCGATCCAATGTGACAAGTAAAGAATAGAGGCACCATTTGGAATATATGAAAAATAGAAGATGTAATGCATATCACAGATTACATACATTCACCTGTTTACTACCCCCAGTGACCAAATTTACGTGCTGTACTAATGCGCAAGTAAACGGAAAGACACCATCAAAGAACCTGACAAGAATTTCACAAAACGGAGTCGAAATTTTGGAAGTTTCTTTTTAAAATACTGCTAATCTATTCCTTTAGTTTTGACCAAACTTTTTTTAAATGATATGATACATTTAGGACAGTGATCCAAGTTTTGGTTAGAAATAAAGTAAATGAAAATAATAGATTCTTGTAAGTGAAAAACAGCGGTTTTACTATTAATAATCTTATTAAATTTTACCAATTGTTACCTTAACACGACTTCTAGAATTGTATCCAAATACAAATTCAAATCTGTAGGATGGTACAATTCATATGAACCATCATGCAGCTTCATTGTCCACTTGATTTCAATGTTGAAACCTACATGGGGATTGAGTGTTTCCAGCACTTGCTGCAGAGTTGGAAAAGGCTGATGATCCTCCAAATCTTCATCAAAAAACCTTTGATTCTTCGATTTGCCTTCAGTTAAATGATACAGCTGAAAACATTTAGTCATAAACAAGTAGTATATCAACAATATTTGGTCGGATGATTTTCTAAAAGCAGGATTAAAGTATTTGCGGTAACAAATTATATTTATTGTAATTTAGTAGCATTCCCTTTTTTAAAAATATCATATGTTTTTTCTGTTAAACATTAATACCGGTATTAACAAAATAACTTTGAAATCAACCGGTATATTCTCATACATGTAACATCTTTTTTCATTGCAATTTACAAAAGGTAATGTAATACGTACTGTTTGCATTAGAAATTACAACACCCAATATATGCCCAGCTATATTTGTTTTCTCCCTTGATTGCCTCAATGTATTGTAGTAAACGATAACTTTTTTGTCCCAGTCAGTTTACAAATAACCGGATTTTTTTTAACTTCTTAAAAAAACTTACCAATACATAGCAATAAATACCCCACAAAGATCAATAGATAGATGCATGCATACACTTTGATTTTTTTATATTTAAAAAAAAGTTATTGCAGGCTTCACAACATTTTCAATAGTATACTTACTTTTAGCATTTTAAGCTGATCTAAAGTCAGTTCCTTGACAGGAAGTTCTAACATATCTTGATCGATTAAATCTTTTTTCTTCTTCATCGAAATACAAACGTAAAAATCATGATAAATGATGGGCACCAAATCTTTGCTGAGCTGCACATCAAATTCTACAAAATCCGCTCCGTGATTAATGGCATTGTTGAGAGAAGCTATGGTATTTTCTCGCACTTCCGCGCAATTCTGCACTTTATTTTTAAAACTCGACCCAGAGCCTCTATGTCCTACGTCTAATCCGGATCTAGTTTTTTTCCAATGTTTTGCATAACTAATACTCATATCACATTTAAAGTTGGGCATGGCTCCAATGACCAAATAATCGACACGTAGTTCACCTAATGGTCGATGTTTTGTGCTGGTCACTGGCAAAATGATCTGCCCTTCTGACGACTGCAAAGCAGTTGGCAATAGATAACTAAAACCTGTATGGTAAGGGGGCTCGCCTTCGTCGCATCGAGACGAGTATATGTAGAAGTCAAACAAATATGCTGTATTCTGAGGAAATAAAATTGTACTTTGGAATATCAGCAAATCATCATTTTGTACTTTTATACCAAATTGACTTTGGGGGTGAAATGTAGGATCATCTTCATTCAACGCGGCTACTTCAGTAAAAGCAAATTTTACTCCCTCCACCCCTTCCTGAGTATCACTCAAAGATTCGTCTAAAGCTTCCGACATTGACAGTGGCAAATTTGTACTGTGACGTAGATTCACAGGAGTTACTTTAATATAAACTGTTCTATTTGCATACTTTGGACGCCACAGCGTCAAAGGGTTGTTGCATAATTTCAGCTGTACCACAGACTCTTTACATAGCCAGCCCCTATCAATTCGGTCAGTGTTGTTGTAAAGTCCATACACTTCAGGCTCATCTTGAGAAGTTGGAGAAACTTGAGAGTATTCTATTAGTCTGGGTTTTAAATTAGCTTCCCAGCTTCGGACAACAACTTGAATGCCGCTTTCTATGATGACACATACGCAATACCTGGTAACAAAAAAATCTTTGCATTTCCATGCCCACTATGCAACAACTTATAAAAATTCAGCCAACCTATAAAATGCATTTTGTTTTAATTTTTGTTTTATTTTCGATATTGTGGTTTCAAACTAGAAATTTGATTAGCAAGAACATTTGTATTCTAATGATATTGGAGATAAGACTCCAGAGAGTTGCAGTCTTTATGGTTTCATCAGTTTATTATGTTGTCCACAAGCAATTTTGGCACATCATATAGGTTCCTTTATAGACTCAAACTTTTGACTGCTAGAACATAAGGAAACAAAAAGGTCAACATCATCATAGCTTTTTTATATTGAGGGCACCAATATTCTAGGTGGCGCTGTAATTATTTTACTTTAATTTTTAAGAAAGTTATAGAATTGTTTTCGTGGCATTTAAATAGCAAGTACCAGTGCTCTATTCTAGAATTTTAACACCCAAGTAGTAAACATATGGTTTACCTCACTCTCAACACTTAAACTCTATATTACCAATATACTCAAAAAATAACCAATGGAATGATTAAAAAAAGAGAACAGTCTCACTTTATACACACAGTTTTAGACGGTTCCCTGATTGGAGTGTGAATGAATTCAGAGAACATATATTAAAAAGTTTTAAAAACTAGTGAGGTTTGTTAATATAAATTAGGCAGTACTAAAACAAATTTCTATTAGGTAATTAGAATACAATATTAATACTGTATTTAGATTTGTGACACATCGGTGTTTAAATTAGAGCAGTTGAACTCCAATCCTCATATATATTAACTTTAATATGAAATTTTTAAGTATTTTAAAAATGAAGATTTACCAAAAAGCTTTATAGGATTTATTTTTACTAGATTAAACTCTCTTGATTATTCCTGACTGTCTGTACTAAGACTAGTAAGAATACTTTGCATCTTGTGAGATCTCAGAAAATTGTGTTAAATTATTTTATATACCAGCTTAAACAAGAATAGAACTGAACTTGTTTTTCGTTCACAAATCACTATTGTAAACTGCAAGCTATTGAGCCATAAATTGTTATCATTATTAGTTTATTTACAAATTTTATGTTCAATATATGCTTAGAACTTAGAACCTTGTCAAAATAATAAAATATTTACAGCAGCATTTGTAGATTCCCATAATAGAAAATGTAAATGTCCAACTGGTTGAAAATATACTTACAATGGCATATAATAAAAAAAATATTTTATCAGATAAGATATGTATTAAAAATACACTGTTATCTAACTTTTGCAAGTTAATTTTCTTGTTATTTATATTTCCAAATATATTTAAATGTAATTTATTTAACTCATATTAAAATGTAATGAAAAATGTTAAAACACTGTGTACCTGTATTCAATGGTTCTTTTGTCAGGAATCTCAATAACAGTCGACCAGACATTTGGGTCTTCCTCCTGTTGGAGAGGAATTACATTTTCTGGTGTCCAACAACCAAGTTCTCGTAAATCCCCCACAACACAAGCTACTTCGTCTTTTTTCAAATCCTTATGGGATACACGAAAAAGCCAACTACGTGGAGCATGTTGAAAGGATCCCACAGATCCTGTAGAGATACTTGCGTCACCCTTTCCTTGTCGGATAGCTGAGTTGTTGGGATCTTCCGTGAAAAACCAACGCTGCATAATACAAGTTTCTGAACGTAGTTGAAATTAAATGACAACCAAGATTGCGCCCTTGGTCGTAAAAATCTAGGAAATGACATCAGTTACAATTAAAAGACAACACCACCAAAATAACCTGATCTTTACGCCAAATTACGCTGTGGTTAATATTATCCGATAATCATCCTCAACTAAATCAACTCAATCGACCCCAGCGCAAGACCCTAACGGATGTCTGTCGGTTATTAATTATTAGGTTAGAATAATTTCACATAGTGGCCACAAATTATTTTATATAAATATGGGTCACAGACTAATATTCAACTGGTTAGTTCTCTCCTGTTTGGTTAATCAATAATATTCAGAACAAGTACTAGTATGAATACTAAAAATTTATCAAAAATCAATTATCTCCCGCCGCAAATTAAGGTATATGCTACATATTTATTTCAGTTATTTAAATATTGCGGAAGTTACAAATACACTTCATTAATCGAAGAAACAAGAAATTTGAGAGCACTTATTGTACAACTTGTTCCCATTCTTTGAAAAAATAAATACATAAAAGTACTTGAAACATAATTTGACGCGTTATCATTAGACAATTATTGGTCATTATGATTTTCTTTTCGTGCTAAGGAATCTATTCTAGTGACATTTTTTTAAATTAATTGTTCAAAAGAATATTAACGGCCGAGTGATTTTTCGTCAATTTGTAAAAAAAAGATTTTGAATTAAAGATGTTTATTTTACAGAAACTTCATAAAAAATTAAAAATAAATACGTTCAGCTTACTATGTACATAATTTACACAATAATTTCGCATCAAACACAGCATTTAAATATAATTTCCTCTCATCACCCAGGTATATATACATCGTTTTACTATACACGCATAAGTTATAAAATGTGGAAACTGTCTATACAAAATATTTCATTTCATTTAAGCAAATATTAATTATTACTAATCATCACATGTCATTTACGTAAAATTAAAAAATTTTTAAACATAATTTCAATATTGTTATCAAAGTTCTGGACGATATCACAAGTTGACAAGCTGTTAAAGTACCTACTACGTTGGATGAACGAACTGACAATTATCACGATTCCTACAGTAACCATGATTTTGTACATTTTTACACAGTCTTCCTCCTCTATGTCCGCCACGCTTCCAGTTCCCATGACCTGAACCGTGACCAGATCCTGATAGCCTAATCCAACCACCACCTCCACCTCTCCGGTATCCTCCTCGAGGACCGCGCAAATTAAAATTGTTTGGTCCGTACATGTTCATATTTGGAGCTGGCGGACCATTAAATTGGGGCATTGAAAAGTTTGGATTTTCGTTTCCCCCTGGACCCATAAAACCATCTGGCATGGGCCCCTGTGGGACAAATGCATTCGGATTTATACCCGCTGGGTTCATCATTACTTCTTGTGGATGAATATTCGGTGGACCCATCATGTTGTTATGCATGATGTTTGGCGGAACATAGTTACCCTGTCCTGGTGGTCCATGCGGACCTGACGGAGCAACAAATCTAGGCGGCATTCCGACGAACTGGGGTTGGGGGCCGTTATTGATGCCATTAAAATTAGGATTAAACGGAACGGCGGTTTGATGGAACACCGGAGGTAACTGAGGAGATTCAACAATAGGGGGAGAACCCTTGGGATCCGGCCAAGGCGTACTTCGCAAATCTATTTCCTGACTGTCTGGATCGTCTAGCGGTATTATAATCGGATCACTCATATGATGATTTTCCGGTACCGGCTCTTCCGGACTATCAGGAATGCGTCTTTTATCGAAATACAATGCTTGAAGGACGCTCTTTTCTCTTGCGAACTGAATATCTTTTTCCAAACTCTTTGAACCTGGGTTCGCCAGCGCCTCTGGCTGATCGCAAAGGTAGAGCATTTTCCACGATGTTTGTGGTTCCATAACATCTTCGTTAATCAACTTGCGTGACATCTGTAGCGCTTCCCTCTCGCTTGTCATTTCCATTTTCGCCATGTCCATAAACGTTTTGGTAACATTCACTCTTTCAGTTTCATCCAGTTCAAAATATCTAATTTCCACCAGTTGCTCTTCCGTCTTCCACTGTATCGACCGCTTCGGACCCTTCTTTTTAGTGTAGAGAAGAACCCCCTTTAGTCCGTCCTGCAATTTTGGCACTTTCGGTGGATTGGTTTCACAATCGTCCGGATCCGTAGGAGTAGTGGGACTAGCGGGCGTGTCGCTTGGATCTTTATTGGTTTCTGAATTTTCCTTGTCTTCTTCTGTTCCCGCTTCTTCTGACAACGTGTCTTGGTAGAAGTTGATAGGCGCGATATTTTTAAGACCCAATGCGTTCGGAGGCGGCGACGATGGTGTTGTAGTAGGCACCTGGTCGTTGTTTGCCAAAGTCGGTGAAGATGGCACATCTTTCGTTACGCTAGGCCTTCGTTTACGCTTTTTAGGTTCTTTTTTGGTTGCTGAAGCAGCAAGAGCGTCCATAAACATGTCGCTTTCTTGCAATACGGCAGCTGCAAACAAACATATATTTATTGTAAACTCCAGTAAAATTCACGTGTAGATAAAATTTAAATTTTGATCAGGAAATTGGCAGGTCCGCACTATTACTTGAATACAACGAGCAGGAGAGGGGAGGATTAAAATAAAACAAATATTAACGTATAAAAATTTATTTCTTTACTAAGCTTTTATTTTAACTATTATACCATACTAACGACCGGAAATTTCCAGTCCGGCAGAACCGCCAATATATAAGGTGTCTACTTTTATCAATGCACCAACTTTTCAAAGATTATCGACTGATTTTTTTGTTTTACAATTCGAGTTCCATTTTAACCAACTTTGAGGTATTATAAAAAGGAAAATTGCATACTTTTACATCGAATGTTCAAAATGGGGGATTAGCTCCTGATTAAATTTGAAATCAGTAATTTTGGAAGCGCTGCAAGTGTCCCAAAAAGTAGTTGACACTATTCCACCTCAATCTATATTTTTGAAGTTAATAAAATATATAGTGTCGATGTTCCGCAATGTTAACGATTCTAAAAAATATACAGTGTGAAAAAAAGACATTGTTCAGTTGTTTTAGAAAAAATAAATTTCCTATTTACCATCCCCATTGGCAGTATTAAACACAGAATGTTATTTGCTATCCAGTAAAGTTCAATAACGTAGCACGTTTTACTGTATGTTTTGGTAAAATTCAATGAATTATTAATAAAAAGTAAACGTTGAACTATTGGACACTAGGTTCATAGATGAAACGAACTCTTTTGGTTAAGCTTACAGGTGATGTTTTAAGATGCTTTCAGAAAAATTCCAAAAATTTGTATTTTTATAATAAATATAATTTTTTATTTTATAAATAAAATATTTTAGCTTTCATTTTTATGAAAGGTATACCGCTACTGTAGTCAAAAAGATACCATATTTTTTGCAATTCCTTTCAAGGCATTTGTTACATTAAAATTCTCTTTTGGAAAAAAAAACTTGATCATAAAGTGTGAGGTGCGTAGTGTTGTTAATATATTGGGATCTTATAAACTGTAAGAAGCGATTGAAAATGACTAAATTTTGGCCAGTGCTTTAAAAAATTTCGGTGGAATTCTAAAAACGCACGGAACCTTTTTAATTTTAAAAGCTGTGACCCAGTTCTATAACACCATATGAATCTTTAAAAACATTTTTATTTCTGGATATTCGGTTGTTCTTTACAATAAACAACTTCATTTCGGCATTTTCTAAGTATAAAAAAATTACTTGATACACAGAAGGCTTGTCCTACCAAATTTTACAAAAGCTAATTTTAGTCGCCATAACCCATATTTTATGTGGAAAAATTGATTAAGATCTAATGATAACAAATAAAATTTACAATGGCAACACCATAGGATGGCCTACTATGTCGCCAGAACTACATCATTGGGTTTGTATCAAATGCGTCGTTAACACCTATTTCGAAGAATAATTTTAAAAACCCATTGCTATGTGTAGAAAGATATTTTTAGTAAAAGCTCTTCAATAAGTTTGCATGCTACTTGTGATCATTATATTAAATATTATAAAAATGTTATGTTTGCTATATAATAGCGTTCCAAAATTCATTTTTTATGCTTACTCTGCAATTTAAAAAAGCTACAATAAAAAAAAAAACTGATAATAGTTTTTTTTTATATATGAGACATGGTTTTAAAAATTACAGAACTTCTAGTGTCACTATATAATTTTCAAAATTATTCTAGAGAAAATAAACACTCTTCCACTCTCTAAAACCCTATACTGCGTAGCACGTTGCCAACTCAATAGCCTATATTGAAACATAAATTTAAAATTAAAAATTCTGCCTAATGTTATAATGCGTGAATTAATAAATTACGGAAAATTAGTTATCCAAAATAGCATGAACGCACAAAAAAATGTCGATAAACGAATTAAATTACTGGGTGTCAGTTTATCGAAATGATAGAAAGAAACAGCACAAGTGTTCCATAATCAAATTGACAGCGACATGCGACGAGCACTGACAATATTTTTGAAAGAAATAATGACACTCATTTTTTCTAAACCAAAATTATTCATTTAGATAAAAATTGCGAGTCTTATTACTGGAATATACTGGTTTCCAGTTAAAAAAGAAAACCCGTTTAACTGTTTGAGACAGATTTTTGGAATAATAACAATACATGATAAATCCACTTATTTGAATTAAGTACTGCCCTAAATTGATTGATTAAATAATTATGTAAATATTAATAAGTCTATTTTTTTTTCGAACCCAGTGTTTTCCTATTGAAGGATTTTTCAATTTATATTGGATTTTGTTAAAATAAAAGCTGGCAAAAATATTGCTTCGGAAAACTTCATTGAATTTTCAAAAACGTTGGACTCAGTTTTCGATAGTATCGGAATTTCATACGTAAAAAGCTTTTCGAAAATATTAGAAAGAATTCAAAGGAATCTTCTTATTCAAATAAAAATACGCCTAGGAACCCTGCATTCTTTATAGATTAACGGCTACCCCGAGTATATTTTTTACACTTGTTGGACAACTTCGTGGCTGTTGCGGTTATAAGATAAAAATAACGTTTGGCACCTGGACAGTTGCGCACATTTGCGGCACCTGACAATAGCATCTATTTTAGTACTATCATACGTTTTCTTAGTAACTCCTGTCCACTGAGAATAATTAGTAGCCAAGTGAAGCAAAAATGTTTCTGATGTTTGCCAGTTCTTCCTTGCCATTGCTATTCTGAAGATAAATAAAACTTTTTCGAAACTTAACAACTTTCCACAATTTTTCGAAAATTATAGAGAGCTGAGGTGTTATTAAACACGCATTCTCCGCAGACCTCTGTGACATGATCGTCGGTTCCTCATCGAAAATATCTTCGTAGACAAAAATTCGATTCGCAGAAATCGTTTCACAGCGTGTCATTAACCGAATTGGGAGGGACCCAAATAAAACTTTTGACAACCACAATTTTCCTTACACTGATGAACAAATAATGACCTATAATCGAAATAACAGTTTATAAATAATTTTTAATTATTATTTACTGCCTAATTTTCTACTTTATCATTTTCTTTATTTACGCGTAGTTTTTTATCCTTTTCAATCATTTACGTGGCGGTAGCATTAAATTCTGAAAGTGTATTAAATTCCCATTTCTACGAAACAATTGTTATTTTATTTCAGCGTAAGGTGAGAAACGTCGCCGGCAAATTACAAGAACACCCACACCTATATCGACCAAACTGTTCAAAATCTAAAGATAATGTATATGTTTTTATAAATTTTATTATCACTCTTTTTTGTAACGGCATATTACAGAAAACTTAACCAAACTCGAAATAAGTGGTTATATTTAAAATTTTGATAATACTGATCCAAATGCTCTTCCTTAATAATTAGTTTCATAAAATATCACGGGCAGCCCAACTACGTTCATAAAAATCAATTTGTATATTCAATGACCGAATCGAATGTCACCCACGCAAATTCGCATTGTATAAACGTTTACCATACCACGCCTACAATATGATCAGTAACCTACAAAAAGGTAGCCGATACTGTTTGCCAGAGTCTAGAATAAAATAAAATGGTCGCTCCTATATTGCTCAAATCTGACGAGAATAAAATTATATATTAGTCTTTATCGTTGCTTTAATATTCCTTTGGGTAACTGATAAAGGTTAAATATTTATATATAGAATAGAAGGTTAAATATTTATATATAGAATAGGTGATCATGTAATTTGCGTAACAAATCAGGAACTCTAGCAGACAAGAATTATAACTTGTTACCATCAAACGATAAATGCAAAAAACGCTACGTCACTGTTCCACAACTGCAATCTGTTTAGATTCTGTCTAATTTAATTCAGTGGCGTTAATTATTTTACTAGGTATGTGTAAAAGAACATTATTAAATTCTTTTCTGCTAAGTTCAAATTCGCTCTTTCGGCTATTGTGTTTATGAATTGATGTTATCCCAATAGGCAGAGTATTATTACTTTGGCTCTAAGGAAAACTTGGTTTCCTTTTGATATACTTTATATCAAAAATGCCACATTGATTGACTTGTTTATTTGATTAAAACCAAAATAACATAGTTTACACGTTTAGCGGACGAATGGTGGTGTCATAAACTTCCCTCAAACAAGGAACTCTTCGCTCCTAAAAACGCTGAAAACCTAATTACACCACAAAAGTTAGTCCTTATTAAGATTACTAAATTCGAGGAGGAAGTACTTTTGGTTAATAATTAAAATTTAAAGACATCTTACGTAAATTATCCGAACTAAAGTCTTCCTTGTCACTCTGTAGTACACTATTTGTCTATAACTGCAAGCGACAAGACACGAAATTCATACCTATTACCGATTGTATTGTAACTAAACGGCACAAGACGCGATGTTACTAGTTCATACTGATTTTAATATTTAGGTCCATTCCTCAACAGTAATATAAAACGCGAGCAAGTAAAACAAATTTTGCTGTCGCCTTTGCTGAACATCCCCTCGAGCGGAATCTGTGAATGTCTGGCACCCTTGGAATATCTGAAAGAAGTCTACCTACGCCAAATCTAAAACATATTGAAAGAGTTTTGAAACATGCAAAAAGAATATATACGTCACGGACTCAGAAAATATACCAGGAGGTTGAAATTTCATATTAGTCGATAACTTCATCGCATCGATAATATAGTTTTTGAAACAATTAAAAAAATAAATGAAAAAATATTCGACGCAGGCAGCCATTAATGACATGTGAAATTAAAAGTATGGTTGCAAGACGAATATGAAATTTACATACCATAGTCCTGAAGATGGGAACGAATCATAGGCGATAGCCAACAAGGAAAACATGTCGCCGGAATGTAAATCTAAAACATACATTAAAATCAAGCTATTAATTTCGAAAGAATAAAGGAGTGCATAATTAAATTACTGAAATATATTATATCAGATCGATTTAAGCATAAGAACAGTTGTTTTTACTTTGTACAGC